TTAAGACGGTTTAGACATATTTTGTATTGTAATTCTGAGGATATTTTTCAATATACTATTCGTACGTACGTATATTACATTTTTTATATTTTATCTGCGTTACATGTTGTATTTGTAATATGCATATATTTTCCTTAAATTGGAATCAAGTCTGAATTCAAAGATGATAGCGTTGAAAATTGGAACTGTTTATTTCAATATGTTTTTTGAGGAGTTACTATGAACTGTTTCATTATCTAAGAAGAATTACATGTTATATCTATTTTTTTAATAATGTCTCACTTTTCTTAAAAACTCATCTCTAAAGAGCAGGGCTGCATTTTCAATTTTGTGCAGAAAAAATTTGTCTGTCTATTAATATAGAAAAATTGTGTTTATTACGTTACGGCGTCATTCTACTGCAACAGCCGAAATTTCCTGCTTTTTTCAATGATTTATTTCCAGTAAAATCAAATACAATCTTTTACATATTTGTATACGTTGATATTTGCAACCATGTTGTACAAAAACATTTCTTTGTAGTGAACTTTACAATAGCGAAGGGTGTGTAAACATATTTTCTTTCTTCTTGACTTCGAGTTTTTTAACTTCCCCTTAGAACGGACCCCTAGTGGTGTAAAACTATCAATAGTCTGGACCATCCATAATTATTAATGGTTCTAAACAAACCATCGATAGTTATCGATAGAGCTGTTTAAAGAGTAAAAATAACTGGATCAAATACTATGTCAAGCAAAGTATTTGTTCTTGTTTAATTGAATACTTTTATCATTGAGTCTCTTATCGTCGAAATTATTTGACCAGTGGCATTGAATGTTCTCTCAGATTCAACATATCCTGCAGGTACACAAAAATACTTCAAATACAATTCACAAATCGTAAACGCATCGTTATTGCCATTAATCTGAAACAAATGAGCTTCGAGAATGAAATTAATTAATCGAAAGTAGATTCTACTAATTTTATAATTATATACCTTCTTATAATGAGTCACCATTTTGTAGTCCATTACATTCCTCTAACTACTGTCGTTCTGTAATTATAATGTCTAGTGACTTGGCTCGTGTTACTTATTACACTACCGGAAACTGTCACGTTCGAAACAAAAACACTATTGCAAACCAGGGTTTCAATAATAATCAATTAAAATTTTTTAATTAAATAATTTATTTAAACAAATTTAATTCAATCAACTTAATTAATAAATATTTTGAATAAATGTAATTAAAAATTATTTAATTAAAATTGAATTAAGCAGAGTTAATCGAAAATCGTTTAATTGACGATTGATATGAGCGAATTTAATAGAAGATATTTAATTGACGATTGATATGAGTAAATTTAATCGAAGATATTTAATTGACGATTACTTTAAGCAGAATTAATTCAAAGCCATTTAATTGACGATTACTTTAAGCTGAATTAATTCAAAGCCATTTAATAGACGATTGATTTAAGCAGAATTCATTCAAAGGCTTTTAATTCACGATTACTTTAAGCAGAATTAATTCAAGCTATTTAAATGACGATTTGTTTATATCTTCAATGTTAAAAGACATTTATATAAAATTCGATTAATTATATAAGTAACACATATAAATAAACATGTATATAAACCAATTTGTAGCGACAAATGCAATATACTGAATACTATTAACCTCATCAAAATGAGTTGCTTGTATATATAATAATGTATTTGTTAAGGTAATTCTATGAATGAATAATTTATAACGTAAATAAGAACAAATATGTATCCTTGTTCAATGACGACAAAATAAAACAAATATATACCATAGGTATAAGTTAAAGTAATATACTAAAAACATAAAGCAGTTCAGCTAATTTGGCATTACCGGCATAACCCTTTCTGTACGAGCGCCGGATATATGTATCTGGCATCCATCTAATAACCTTGTATGTGTTACTTATACAATTAATTAAATTTAATATAAATGTCTTTTAACATTAAAGATATAAAGAAATCGTCAATTAAATGGCTTTGAATTAATTCTGCTTAAAGCAATCGTCAATTAAATGGCTTTAAATTAATTCTGCTTAAAGTAATCGTCAATTAAATATCTTTGATGAAATTTGTTCATATCAATCTTCAATTAAATATCTTCGATTAAATTTGCTCATATCAATCGTCAATTAAACGACTTTCGATTAATTCTGCTTAATTCAATTTTAATTAAATAATTTTTAATTACATTGTTTGTAATTAATTGTCAATTAAAGACGGAAATTAAACTTTAAAAGTAATTAATTACTCACAACCCTGTTGCAAACTATCGATAGTCCAAGTCAAATATCGATCACATTTCCGTTAATGAAAAACCATCGATAGCCTCGATAATATAATAATTGCCCACCACTACGGACCACGCGTAAATTCTAACACGCTGTGGCCTCAGAATTGTTAGTTAAACTGCTGCCGGTGATATCCCATTATTCTTCTCGAGTGTTTCGTCGTGTCGCGTGAAGGATCGCTCGTCTCCCATGCCAACGACTTTTCAACCGCTACCCGAGAGCTTTCGGACTCTCCCAAGTTACATGCTACAAGAAAATAAAAAAGAAAACGGAAAAAAAAATTATTTTCAACGGTCGACGAAAGTCTCGAGATGCGTTGCCGTTTGTCATCTGTATCCAACATCTCCGAAACACGATCGTCAAAGTGGGACGGCATCTTACGAAAACAACGCTCGAATGAACGCTGAAAAACATGTCGCCGTGATGCGCGCACCGTCTGCTTTATCGTTATAAACAAATCGTCAAGGCGGGGACTATCGTACTATGAAATACGCGCGAGATGCACGTAAGATGCAGCTCGCCAGAAAGCGGCCGTCGGTATTTGGCAAACGATGACAACGTCGTCGACACCGTCGTTGGGTTAGTCCGCAGTCCCCAGGTACCCTAGACCCGCGACGCCTCTTCCTTGGTCCAGCTCCGTCTTCGTCCCCATCCTCCTCCATCTTCTCTCTCTTTCTCGCCCTTTTTCCGCCTAGCTTTCTTGCTTCCTCGCCTCTCATCTCTTTTCCGTCTTTCGCGTGCTCTTCCTCTCTTCGCGTAAGAGCCACGAGGAGGGTAGGGGCAAAGACGCTTTTAGACACGGAGCGTCCACGAGCGTCGCGACGCCTTGAGAAGCAGTAGTCGCGTACCTTAGGCAGCTTCCACCTTGCCGGCTCGCAGCCGAACGTAACGTGATTCTCCTCGACGACGTCTGCTTCGTCCGCCCTAGCTTCTGGAACCTGGAGGACGTTCGAGGAACGAACTGGTTTACGTTTAAAAAACATACAGCCCTCTGTGCCGGGCGAATAGGAAGGGTTTGGAAGGGTTAAATGTGGGTCGAGGTTTCTACAGGCCTCTGGGAAAACAGGGACAGAGCTGTAGAGGTCCCATAGGACCTTTCGAATCAAGAATCGCATTATCCCTCGAGCTCGGTCGAACGCGAGGACTGTCAGAAAAAGAGATCGGCAAAATTGTTGATAATGCAAGAAGGGTAGACCGTCTGCGTTCGGAGAACGTGTTTTCGGTGCTGAGTGGACAAGCTCTGTTTAGAGAGTTAAATGTGGGTCGAGATTCAACGAGCCTCTGGGAAAACAGGAACTACGAGACAAGGTTTCGTAGACGCTTCTGAAGCAAGGATTTCAACATCGGCCGACCTCGGTGCGACGCGAAGATTGTTTGAAAGAGAAATTGTCAAGAATGTTGATGATTCGAGGGGTCAGTTTGGATAGAACAGTTTCGAGGAACCATTTAGGAAAGCAACGATCATACAGTGATCCCTTAATATCGGTGTAACCTGGGGATTGTTAATAAGACTGACAAGATTGTTTATAATCCAAGGAGAGTGGACTCTTGGAGCAGGTGTCATCGTCGGTGCTGAATAAACGGAATCTGTACAGAAATATTAAATTAAAACAAAGCCTTTTCGAATCTCTAAGGAACAGGAACAATTTGGAAAATCTTTGCAAGTGCTTCTGCGCCAACGATCCCTTCAGCTCTTAAGCTTGGTGCATGTTAAGGATCGTCGTAAAGAGTAAGAATTGTTTGCAATCTAAAGAGTAGACGACCTAGTCTTGTTTGGAGAACGTCTAGCTGCATGATCTATTCACAAGGATCGAACTTGGATCGAGGAATTATCCTTCAGACGAGAGAACACCAACGGTTGCCTCGATCCTCGTTTTCAGAAAGAGGGACCGAGGGAAGAAGGTACACGTGAAGGATCTGCGGTTAGCTGAATCTCGGTGGGATCTGCGAGTTCTAAATTAATCTGGAGCTCGTTGTTCAAGTTCCGAACGCGGGCCTGGTGGTTAGTCGGCGTAAAAAGAACGTAAAATTTCGCTTGCGAGGAATAAAAATAAGCGTGATACGGGGAATTGAGAGTCGGATCGGTTTCTGGCCTGGTGTTACGTGTTGCACTGGGAAGAGGTTCGCCGGTTCCCACTCGAGGAACAAGTGGCCACCGTGTTTTGATACTACGGAGTCCTTCCTTCGTACCAAAAATAAGTTCTCGTCCTTCCGCGGTCGACCTTGACATCGTCGAATTCGAGGTATCCTTGAACTTGTCTCCCCTGCAAGCCCGGCACGGATTACTTCGGTTTCATAAGGAGGCAAGCGATTTCTCAGTCCCGAGTCCAGCCAATTTCCTCTGGAAACTGCGTTATTCATCGATCGGTTAGAAGCATCGAGTGTGATTTCGCTATCGTAGCGAGGACTCATTCGCTGTGACGGATCCAGCAGTGTGGAAGTGCAGTGTCGTGCTCGTTTCGCTGATCGTCGATCGTAATCCTAGTGTCGATGAACGACGTTTGAATGTGTTCAACGAATCGACCGGTGACATCGTCGCGGGTGAATCCTTGTTGCGGTTGAACGGGAATGGTATAGTGGTATCCAAGTGGACGACCGTGCGAGTCGTCGATCGGTGATATCTGTGTCGTAAGAGTAAAAACAATTCCACGAAAGTGGTTCGCGTGGCGAGGAAGGAAAAGGACGCGACGATGGCGGAGCGTCCTGGAGGCAAAAGGCGTTCGCGTCGCGACAGTGCGGAGACATCGGGCTCCGTACGCGGCACACCGCCAACGTCGAAGGATCGAAGGACTAAACGGTCGAGTAAGCCGTCGAAGGAGCGATGGCTTCTCACCAGAAAGACCTGGCGGTACATGGCGGACGCTGGCAGACGCTTAATCCCGGATGGAACGCACAACAGGCCCGAGGATATTCCGAAGATAGAGCAATATTTTCAGGAAGTGTGTCAGAAGGAGCCAAAATTCCTGTTGTGGAGAAAGGCTTCCTATCCGGGAACGTTAGGCTTTCGATCCCAGAGGCGTCGAAGAGTCATCAAAGGCGGCAGTTGTCGAACGAAAGCCAGCTCGGCCGACGAATCGGACGATGTCAGGAGTTCACCTCGAGGCTTCGTCCTTCATACCACAACCGCTGGGAAATTCGACCTAGCGAAAGCCAAAAGGGAGTGGTTGCTGACGTCCGAAGGAGGTAGTATGCCGTCGAGTCCTGTGGAACGCAGGAAGTTTCAGCAGGAGGACGCGGATGCCAAGGCGTTGGCAGACATGTTGCAGAAGTACCTGAACATGCAGAGCGACGTCGCTGGTACGACGAAAACAGCTGGCAGATCGGAAATTCTTGGGCAGGTCGAAGGAAGGGAACTTTTTGACTATCAGAGCTTGATAGACAAGCTTCAGCAGCACCTGGATTTGATGGTGACTCAAGCCAAACTAGAGGAACTGTCGGTTAGACGATCTTCCTCGGACAAGGACATCCAAAATGTTCCGAAATCTATGCAACCGTATCAGGGCGATTACGTGCACAAGTCCTTAATGGAAACTATTAGTCGTTATTACAGCAAGTCAGGTACTCGGGAACACGTAATCTCGGACATTTTGACCGATCGAAAACTCTTAGAAAAATTGTACTTCGATCTGAGGTGCACCAGGGGCTTCAGAGGTCCACGTGCCACGGGCGCTTACACGTCACCATCTAGTCGCTGGTGGACCCATCAGCGAACCAGAGTGCCGACGAAGGATTCCGAGGATTGGCTCTCGACTAGAAGAGACCATAATCGAGATCCTCTCTCACCCCCACTTCTGATAGCCGTCCAAGAGCCCAGCACCGATCGCGGTCCGATAGATAACGGTGTTCAAACTGATCCTGTTCCTCGGGAAGTTCTCGATGCTAACCTCCTAGAGAGGGAGGAGCCGTTGAAGGAAACGTCCATGCAGAAGTCTGGTGGTCGCAGGCGGAGTAGCGTGGACAACGATGACGTTTCACCTTCTGTGAGCGATACCATCAAAAGGTACCTTCGAATGGCTAGAAAGAAGTCCATGGACGCGGACAAGGTTGACAGGTTTAAACGGGTGAACTATGACAGAAATCTTCGGAATATCAAGGCCAAAGGCGAGACCACGAAGCTGAGCGACGACGAGGGCAACAATAAGGGCTGTCAAACGGAGGACAATTGGGCTGTTAATTATAGAGAAATGTCTTCCGCGGAGAATCCGTTTGAGAATCTGTCCGACGCCGACACGACCACCTCACCTCCGAGCAGGAACGCGAGCTCGAGAAGCAGCATCGACGCTGGTCTCGGCTCCGAGGATCCACTTACCCCTAAGCATCATCACCATCATCAATCCTTCCTATCCCATCTCCTGCACGGTTCCAACGCGCACAAGGATAAACCGCATTCGGCACCCGGTTCGCCTGCACTCACGTCATCGTCGACAAATTCCGCAGGTGGCACAGCGATGCAGAAGAGCAAGTCCTCGAGCAGCGTGGTGCATCACGGCAGCCGATTGGTGGCCAAGAAGATATGGAGGTCCAGGAGCAAGAGTACTTCGAGGGCGTCCAATCAACCCTCTGTCTGGACGCCTCAGGTTAGTTCTTTGCCGCTTGACCATTGTTTTGGCTTTCTTTTTTTCTGTTCGTGGGGATGGTTTGTAACTTTAACGCGTTGTCCGGACTGCTATTCGTAAACATTTCTACGAAGCTAAAATTTAGTTAATAATTGGAAATTACGTGATCTAACATTTATCGTTGAGTGTTATTCAGATTTATTTTCTTTATCGCCGCACTTTCGCACTTTTCGATCAGTGTGTCAATGAAAATTGATTATCACGGGTAGCAAGATTTTTACTGTTCGTAATAACAGGAAGGCAATACTGTTCGGTTAGCGTGTATACGTGTACGTACTCTGATCACTTTTCTCGAAAAAGCCGAATATCTGCGAATTTTTAACGCGAGACCTATATTGTATATCGGTGATCGGTGATTATTAATGTTCTGTACTATTTACTCTCACTGGTTATACATTAACATTCTATTCATAAAATTGTTGTATTAAAACGATCCTCATGAACGTATTGCAAACTGCAAGTTGCAGTCCAGAGAAAACTTACAATATATCACTTAAATGTCAGTACCGTGTTATGTCCATTTCTAGAATTCATCTATAAATTCATTATTTTCTTTGTCGCAATAAACGATTCAAACCAATTAACCCATAAAACTTGATGTATATAATCAAACTTGAAAAAAGTGACAAATTTTTCTTGAATATATTAATTCAATATTGAATTCTGGCTTAATAACATTTGTCCTTAGATTTAAGCGGATTTTTTAATTTGAATTTGTACGACTCGTGCGCCATCTACATCGAGATTAATAAAACAACTAGTTAACCTTATTGAAAGTACATTAAAAATGTAATGTTTAAAAACATAATCCTGTTGAAATTGTGCAACAAGTTTGTGTCATTTTAAAAACTCAGTTTTCAAAAAGGTATGTCATAAATTGACTTGTCAGTATCGTGGTACTGGTAAATTTAATTAATTATTGATTTTTTTTATCATAAGTAATGAACTTTTGTACTTATTACTAACCTCAATAATACCGTAATTGGATATTATCAAATTCATAACCAAATAATTACAGTTGCTAATTGAATTTAAAATGTCAGTACCGTGTAAAAAAATAGTATAAATATATTTAATTATTAATAAAATTATTTTTATTATTAATTATTCTTTTTTTGAAGAAATTTGAGAAATTTGAAGTCAATCGACGGAATAATTTTTGAAATTCTAATTTTCTTATATTCTAACATTTTTCAGACAAATATCACTATCGATATACGTACGAATTTGTTCAAATATTCATTGTCTCTTCTTTAACATTTGACGTGAAAAAAGGTAACAAAGGTGGAGTATTAGGTTAAACTATTTAACGTTGTTTATTCCAACATAGTGTCTTGCTAATTTATTTTATGTAATTCTATATTTTTTTGTATGATGAACACTTAGTACTAGTAGAAGAAATTGGTTTTACGAGCGTGGCTAATGGAGATTTTCACTGTAGCACAATTCAAAATTAGGATAGAACCATATTAATGATATCCTATTGTTAGGTAGAAATCTTGTATTTTAATATTAAAGTCAAATTTCATGTTTAATTGGAAGATTTGAAGGACATGTAACATAGGCCCGTATAATTTCTTCCACATTTCTTCTCAGTGTATTTTATTTGCGTATTGTAAACGAAACAAGAACGTATCTCACGCGCTATACATAGAGTTTTGTCTTGCCAAAATACGTCTACGAATAATTTGCTTAAACCACCTGTCGCCGCATAGCTAAGACTGTCCACCTCGTTATAAGAAAGAAAATGAATTAATGATGCTGCCATTAAGATCCACTACGAAAATACACTGTTGCTATTAATAAAAATACACGGTCGTTGCTTTCTTAATAATACTTAAAAATTTACTTTACTTGTTACCATTGTGCAGATGATTCAAGTTAGTTTTCACGTAGAATATCTGAAATATCTGTACTTTTTGTTCTACTTTCTTCCAGGAGACCTCTATTATTTATTTCATTCTTTTTATTCAACAACTTTAGCGATCACAATGAAAAGATACTATTTTAAATAGATGGACACATGACATATGTAGTAAAGGAAGTCAAGAAAAGGAACACGGTTCGCTGAATTGCTATCTTGCTACTTAGCCCTATAGTATACTGCACGTTTTCAAAGGATTCAACTGTTTATTCCGTAATAAACAGTAAAACTGTAACTTTTACAGTTTATCGTGGAAATGAGTTGTGCAGGTTTAGTCACTTATTACTACGGTCGAACATTATTTAATTTGATAATATATGGATAACTGAGAATTAGTTTTTTTTTTAAGGATAAAATAAAATGCAATTACGTGGTAAAATAGTGAAGAAGTTAATTCTCCTAACATATGTTGTCTAATTCTCGATTCAGCCTCTCCTTCTGTCGTTTTGATAACTTCACATTCTCGTAAGAAGGTATCCTAATTTTTTATACAAAATGTGTACTATTATAACATGAACAGTATTTCAAATATAATATTACTTTGAGACATTACACCGTCGTCTGTACATATTTTATCAAGCTTCATGAATTCTTTTATACCAAATTGGACAATACTCCCAGTAAACGAATAAAAAAAACACCAAAAAAATTACCAATCATTATCAGTATTGACTATAGTATAGCATGTCAAAAGTGGTCGATATCGATTTTTTTATATGAAAATTGTGGTTCAATACTTTAAAAAATAACTTAATTTAAAGATATCGTGTTTCCCTTAGTTATGTTATGCAAGGTATATCCATTTTATAGTTGTACCAAAAAGTATTCGTTCATTAGCTTTTGCAAATATGTTTCCGAAAAAACTGCTTCCAAAGTTTTGAGTAAATGTAACAGAATTTTTATATTTTTCTTGGTCATTACTATTTGTGTCGTGTAATGCATTTTCCCATTTTTTTTAAGGGGCAATATTGTTAAACGATGTTATTTGTAATAGCTGTTCTAACTTTTTTTTGTCGCGTTAAGCAATGTTTAACCGTTAACAAAGATTATATATTTGCCAATCTCTTAAAGCCGTTCTTCGGTTGTAACCTGATTTTTCGTCCAATCACAGTCAAAATTTGTAGATTTGTATTAAATCATTTATTAAATAATATTTAAAATGTTGCCGAATACAAAATCTATTAATCAACGTCTATTAATCGAATGTCTTTCCGAACATTTCTCATTAATCTTTTAAACATAAAGTATTTTGACATATACTTTTGCTACAAAACTGTCCTCATAAGATAAACTTATTTTTTAAAGAAGACATCATATTTCTTCTTTCTTTTTATATCCATACTTTATATATATTTTAACTTCTATGTTTTTTATATTATTCTAATTTTCTATTTTTAACCCTTGTTATAATAATATTGTTCCGAGGTGGGCTACACTTCGAGTGGTTGAAACGAGAATAACTTAATAAAGGACGCTTCTCTGTAGTTGCTCTTACCTCCAATAAACTCACTTGTCTCAATCATATCAAAAATAAAATTGTAGTTTTGAAATAATTGATCTGAATGATTGTTAATTATGTGGACCTGAAAATCATAGTCCTTTTTTCGATTTTTATCTTGTTCCTTTTCTGATCGCTTCGGTTTCCAGCCTCTTCTCACGTCTCCACGTTCTCTTCGTTGAAACATGAATAACTTGATTAATAAGGCACGCTTCTCTGCGGTTCCTCCTACCTTTAGTAAACTCACTTGTCTTAATCATATCAAAAACAAAATTTTAGTTTCCAAACAGTTGTTCTAAATGCTGGTTAATTATATGGCCACTAAAAGTTAGGCCACTAATAGTGGTGCTTTTTCGGTATTCGCCGTCGTTTTTCTGATCACTTTGGTTTCTAGCCTCTTCTCGTGTCTCCACTTCTATTCGTTGAAAAACGGCATGCTTTACTGTGGTAAGCTTTACCTCCGATAAACTCACTTGACGCATCTATAAAAGACTTCAAAAAAGTAAAAAAATTACGCCAAGTACATGAAAAAGTGGAGGACTCAAGGAGTTATCATTGAAAAATAGATGATCACCATAAAAAACTACAAGAAAATAGAAAAAGATGTGAAATCGAAATAAGCTGCCAGATGATTTGTCTAGATTTCCGCGGCCTGGAAGGCAAATACTTGGCGTGATCAGCCAAGGCATTCTTAAATCATCAATACCCATACTTTCTCTCTCACAGACTTTCAGATAATTTGTCAATTTAAAACTCTGACAATATGAGTACACTTTCATTATTTTGCGTTTTAAAATAATTCTTATTCATCGACACCTTGACCTTGCCTGGTCACGCCAAGCATTTGACTACCAGGCCGCGGAAATCTAGGCAAATCATCTGGCAGCTCATTTCAATTTCACATCTTTTTTTACATTCTTGCAGTTTTTTATGAGGATTTTCTATTTTTCAAGAATAATTCCCTGAGTCCTCCACTTTTTCATGTACTTGGCGTAATTGTTTTACTTATTTGAAGTTTTTTGTCGGTTCTCACTTCTTTTTACAAATCATTTATTATATAGAATCTACT